TTTTAAAAACCCTCTAAAATCTCAAATAAATATGGGTGCTAATTTGGTAGTTTTTCTGTTCCACTACAAAATTGAGTAAAATTAAAGCTAATTTGGCAAAATTGAATAACGTTAAGGTCACGAGCACATAGAATTCTATCAACCAACGTGTTACGTGTGGAAGAGAAAAAACAATATCTTATCTTCCCATCAATACTAAGTACTTTTAAATTTTAATGGCATTAACTGCTAAAAGTTGAAAAATAATTAGCATTTTAGTATCGTCCAGATAATTTTTCTATTTATCGGTTTAATTCTTTTTAAACTTACTTTTAAATTGTGATCTTATCTAAATAGTTTAATCTTTTCTTCTTTAAATTGTTATGCCCAAAAAATTTAAATATGACTAAAATTTTATTAGCGTTTGGATAATTTATCCATTTATTAATTGATCTTAATCTTTTTTAATTTAATTTCAAATTGTGATCCTATTTGAATATTTGAATTTTTTTTAAATTACAATAATGATTATCAATATACTTTTCATTATTAGTTAAAAACTGAAAACTCTCGTGAAGCTAATTCGGCGGCAGACTTTTTGGCTGGAATTGGGCATAGTTTGCCAATTGGAACAACCGTCTTTGATTCTCTTCCGCCTGGACTGAATGCTTTTTTAGAAAGGGACATGTTAGGTGTTGCTTTTTTACGACATTGATTAGTTAATTTTTCTTCATATGTAACAAAAAAAATGAATTCAAATTAAAATTATTATTTTTTCCGCAAGATAAATAAAATTAAAAAATCTTATTTAAATTTAATTTGAATTTTATATAATAAAAATCCTTTTAGATTAAGTCATTTATTTGAAATTTAAATACATAATCGAACTAATTGTATCATCATTCTAAATTATAAATAATTAATAGATTAATCTAACTTATATCCAACAATGAAACTTATCATTTTTATAAAAAGAAGAAAGTGGAATCCATTTTCTTTAAAATTTAGGAAAGAATCTATCAAAAATTACTTAATTCTCCATAAAATAAAAGATAAATAAATTAATAAATATAAATTTAGAGTATAATCTCTGGTATAGCTAGGTAGGGACCACTAGTATACTATA